GACGATTTAGCATTTCTATATAGTTTTCCATAATTATTGTATCCATAGACTAATCATGACCTCTAAAGGCAGCTTTTATTTTGACAAGAAGCATGCACAATCTATCAATCGTTTTAAAATCCCCTTGCTTTTTATTGTGGCCTTGTTATGATGCTTTATAGGTATTTGCTTTCGCTAATTTAACCTGATGTCTATTCGTGATTACTTAAATGTGGAAAGGCGTAAATTTGCTTTTGTATGAAAAAGAGATTTTTCTTCTCTTGAGATATTGGCAATGCACTCAAATTACTAAATTAACTTCACCACTTGTTTTGTATGTACCAAACAGCATGCAAAGCTGGCTGAACAACCTGTCTCATCAACATCACAATCTGCTAATCAGTTAATTTTCCTGTGTTGACCAGCTTGTAAATGTCTCACAAATTCCTCGATTTTGTCCTTATGTTTACAAAATAAATTGGTTAGAGAAAGACAAGGACTTCTTTTTTTTATTACTTCTTCTTTTTTTTTTTTTTTTTTTTTTTTTTTTACGCAAAGAAAGGTGAAAGATATTTTTTGAATTAGATCTTGTATCCCACTTTTTTTGCTTGAAATATTTTTTGAAAAAAAATAATGAAACGCACCCGCAATGCAGCTCGTGGTGAAATTTTTTAACTTTGATGCTGCTCCTTCAACAGCGTACAAAATCTTGAAAGGCGACAGAAGAAGAAGAAGAAGATGGGCCAACATTTACATCAGTTACATTATTTTGCCTTGATGCTGTGAATTTTATTATTTTATCTTTAGTTCAAGCACTTATTCTGTCATTACCAAGGAATCGAAAATATTCCAAGGGAAAAAATATTTAGCCTAATAACTACTAACAGGCTAATTTTCTTAAATTATATATTTTTCTTCGAATTTGTGGAAAGGATATCCTTCTCGGTCTTACAGGTCATATGGATACACTCTCATATGAAACTGAAAAAGAAGTAATAATTCAACCTTAAATTAAATACGTAGTACAACGGAAACTTCAAAACAAGAAAATCGTTTCTAACGTATTAAAAAGTAGTAAAATAAATTGCCCTAAAGTGCGTACATACACTGTTTGTAACCATAAAGCGACGGCAAGGTATAGTCCAAATTTCATCCAGTTGCAAAATGGCGCTTTTCCCTTGTAAAGCATTTCGTCAACTGAATGTTCTCGCCCTTCAAAGCATGCATAGTTCTTTTACGATAATGACTACGGGTGCTGAAGAGCTCCAACGATAGTCAGAAAGATAGACAGAAAGACGCAGGAAATGTCAATAGTCAGCTTATTTCATTTTATCAATGATTCAGTGCATAGTAGTTAGTAATTTTCTATAGGATAGAATTAAACAAGCCTCCTTTTTTCTCAGTTTCAAATTTGTAGGCATGTGCCACATGCATCGCATGCCTTAAGGCGACGTCCTTGGTTCAAATCTGTATATTTGATTTGCCAGTCTTCTTAAGAATATCTAATAGTATTTAGGAAGCAGTAGATAAGTGCAGCCTTGTAAGGACTGCAGAAGGAAGTCAACAGAAAGTCAGAACAAACAACTTCTTAGAAAAACATGCCATAGGTTTTCAACGAATTTAGATGAAATGCAAAAGCAGAACCTCTGACAATATATGCGTTTTCCAACAAAAGCGCCGGATTTAATATCGCAATAAAATATTTTATTTTTTAAAAAAGGAAAATATTTTTACATACTTACAAGAGGTAAATATTCCGATTTAAGAATGTAAAATAATGTTCGCCAGCACCGCTTTCTTCCGACGAAATTCCGGAGTTGGAATAACCATTAAGCAAAATAAGCACGTGCTTAGGTCATCAAGCAAAAAGGGCACCACAAAAAGTTGCTTACTAACTCAGTGAAGGGGCCACTATAAAAATTTCTCACTGCCAGTTTTATCATGGAATGTATGTTGCAGCTAAACCAAAATCGAGGGAGAAGAAACAGGTGAAAATCTGGCGTAAATATCTGGAGGTGTGGGCACCAATATCTTTTAAATGTTTACGGCTTTTAAATGTGAAATTCGTAACTGTTTTTCATATGTCTGACTATTAAGGATGACTAACGACATATTGAACTTCCTCTTTAAGTTCTTTCGTTGTTAGTCTTTCTAGGATTCTAACTTCGGATTTTTCAGGATTTGTATTAACACTGTCACGTTCAGTAGACCTGCTAAATCGAGAGCGTTGTGATTGTCTTCTGTCGAAACTGTGTCCTCAATTCTTTTTTATTAATCTGTGAACTGTTGTTATATTAGGTGCACTTTCACGTTCAAAGATTGCATGGGACTTCCTAACAATCTGTGCATGACCCTGTCCTTTCTTATAATGTGTTTTCATAATCGAAACTTGCTGTTTCTTTGTGTAATGCTCTATGTTTACAGAGTTGTAATGAAGCTCCGAAATGAAGTGACAGCAAATAAGATACCTGTGCTGCCCGCTCAAATCAAACTCAACATTCTTAAATCGAAACATGGGCTTATTTAACTTCTTACTGCGAAGTAAAGGAAGTATTGTAGTCACGAAAAATTTCGGATATCACATTTCAACGGAAATATTAATTTTTAATTGCTTTGGAATCCATTTGAACAATGTTTTCGCGTTACATCTGTTCGTACGCACAGAATAAAGGACTCTTTTTTCCAAAACGGATTTTAAATGTATTTATTACACGAAAAAAATCTCTTTTGAAATGAATTCAAAAGAGATTTTTTTCGTAACCTCTGTACATACGTACTTATGTCTGTATATATCTCGCAAATCCCAAAACGTTGAAATTTGTTATATGAAACTTCTATAACATCTACTTGTGCAACTCCCTTTCTTGATAGCAATACCAAACGTATCTATCTATCTATCTATATATATATATATCTATATATATATATCTATCTATATATATATATATACCCATCGCCTTATCCGGCCTTTATTTTCGCATTTGTTGGTCATAGTCATATTCTTTTAATCACAGTACTGTTTTAAATGAAGAAAAGGTTCGCGTTTCCGCAATCTGAAACTTTAAAAAAAAATTTTTTTTTGACAAATAACTAACTTTTAATGCGGTCTCCCTGTTCCAATAGTTACCCATTTTTAAACGTTACGTTTTATACACGTTATGAAAAACTGCAATATTGGGTGTTATTTTCAATTTTCCTTGAGGGATCGGTTATTCAAGTTAATTCGAAGAAATTATTTAAATGAACTAAATTCAGTGGCGCAACAGCCCTAGTGGGCCAAGGCCTGCAGTGGCCCGAAATCTGCTTTCTTGACGTTGGGCCTCGGAGTACATCAGCGTATGCCCTGGGCAAGAGGTCAGCTTGTCACAGGATCCCCGGCTTTAGTCCCCAAGCGAACCTGGTACTTATTTTATCGACCCACTTAAGGGATAAAAGACTGATTCAGCCAGCCTTGCCCAGCCCGGGGATCGAACCCCAGAACTGTGGTGCAGCTGCGCGACGCGTTAGCCACTTCGCCGGCGAGCGGTTAGTTTAACCGTTTCCGGCACGCTACTTTTTACAGTCGGAGTTTTGATAAAAAAAAAAAAAAAAAAAAAAAAAAAGATAGGCAGTCTAATGAGGCCTTGAGGAGTACACATGTAGAATTTTGTGAAGATAGCAGTTATCGTTTTAATTCTGTGGGGGTGCCCAAAGTGGCACACTGATTGAATACAGCTTCGAAAAGAGTGCTGAAACGAGCATTGTTGTCAATGAACTGACTGAGATGCGGAGAAACTAAGAATACAGACTCTCAGTTGTCCTAGATTATCGGTGAGCCCGGTCTGGGCACCCCTAGGGTTCGCCGTTTGATTTTAGGCAAGATTAAATGTAAAAATTTAAAACTAATACAGAATAAGGAGACTAGCATACAGCCAAAAAATAACATAGAAATTTCTTTTAAAACAATTCCTTTTATACCCTAAAATAATCTGGAAGATTTCTTTGAAAAATGAGGATCTTAAAAAAACTAAACATGGCTAAAATATATGGATTGGTTTGTGTTGAGCTGCCATCTACTATAAATGAAGAAGGTTCAGAGTAACCTATAGTAATCTATAAATCCTTTTTCATTCAATTTTTCTGTGCGTACAGAAGGAAATTTTTAGGTGTGTCTAGACCGGACACACTTCGCCGCAAAGGGTTAAATGAAGTGCAGCGAAAAATGTGTATAATCCAATAGGCCACAAGAGGAAGCTATATCGTGTCTCCATCGCATTTTAAAGTATGTAAAAGTATTTTCATTTTCTGAAAATATTGTTAGGGCATAAAAATTTCCGTTGCTTTTTTATATGATTTGACGGGATATTATCTATAATTTTCATAATTTTTCTTATTCAGTTGTAGAAAGTTGTGGTGACTATAGATTGTATCTTGCTTTGTCATTAAAGACAGAGATCAGTAATTCCTTGTTGTTTTATACTTACTACTCTCCGCGTGTCTTCTTAATAATATCAATAATCTCACTGAATCATTGCCACAGACGTGATAGGCCTGAATATCATCTAGAATGGCAACGCCATCTAACTTCTGGCAAATTTAGCTTTCACCCTTGAACATTTTGGCGTGAGGCTGCCCAATTTAACAGTGTCTCACCGGAGCCAAAATGGCAACTTTAGCTTTAACCCTTGCACATTTTGCCAATTTAAGAGTGTCTCAGCGGAGCCCAAGAGTCCGTATCAGTGAATGGGGAGCAGTAGGACTGAGACTGTCGGAATTCACACTCGGGATCACGCATGTGAGACTGAGAAGTCCATCCCATTCAACGGAGAACTGCTGTATTCGTCAATAACACAAATTGTCCCATATCCGATATACAAATTTCTTTTCAGTTAATATTCATTTGTTAATAACGTTGCAAAAAATGCAGTTCGGACTTGACTTCTTAGATGCGTGTACTGTATTTTGTTCCATTTCGAAATTTTTCTTCAGGGCAATAAGTAATAAAATAAACGTAAAAAATAAATAACCAGGCAGTCTTAGAAGCGTGACTAGTATAAGTTTATTTTCTGAACATATTTTAGAACTTTTTTATATACATAAGCAATTACATTCATTTTTAGATTCCTTATTAACTTAAATTAATGTTACACTTTAACATCATTCATCAGATCACACATTTTTACAATTCATTTGACATAAGTTCTGGGGAAGGGGGAAATACAGGAATTTTTAAAAAAGAAGGACGTTGAATATTCAAAATGATTTAGATTCAAAAGTTTTCTTTGAAATATTTCCTAGCGATTAAAATATTTTTATTCTTTAAAAAACTAAAATTCACAAATTATATTTAAATAAACAGTACGAAAGCGAAATGTTTTTCTAACACTTTATAGTATTGGGCATTCTTACAAACCTCCTTTTCACCTGTATGGCATTGCTTCATGATTATACATATATTTCCCTCTTTCTTTTCTTGTTAGTTTAGTCGTTTATTTCCTCGTGAAATATTTTTATAGTCTTTCTTCAGTTGCGAGAAATTTTAAAATCCGCTTTTACTAATTAATTAGAATGTAAGTTTTTATTATGTTTTTATAGATTAAAAATTTAATTTTTCTATTGTCTTTCTCTATTCCCTGGAAACTATAAAAAATAAAGCAGTAAACAAATACCATGCTGCGAGGACCATACTCATGTAGCCTATTTTACACATTCAGTGGTCCAAAACGGGCACGCTCTTGCACTCTGGTGGTGATAGATAGGTCCTCGAGAATACATTACTAAGTTTTCTATTTCTGTTCTACATAGCATAAATTTCTTTCCTAGTGGAATAAATAGACTTCAAAGAATATGACGCTTTGATTGCTGACAATTCATAACAGAAATACTAGAAAATAACTTGAAATAACTCTGAACTTAAGGGTTCACAAACAAAACTTTTGGAAACCAGTATTCTACACGGTAAAAGATAGAGTTGCTGTTTTAATGGAAATGCACAATTATTTCTTTCTACTCAGCAGAAAAAAAATCCTGTGCGCTAAAAAATGACATTACCATAAGGAACTTTTGACTAGTGCACTGTAAGGTAGTACTTATGACTACTCCAGAAAAGTATTATTTATAGCTACATGGATGACCAACAGACGTTTCTGATCCCACAGAAATAATTTAGAATTTGATTTTTGTTTATTTTTCCTTCAAAAACTTAGTTATTTAATATTTTGTAACATAATCACTGCCATTGTCGATGTGTTTCTACAGACGATGATTCCACTGGTCATAACACTTATTATTAAAATGATGCTATCCGATATGTCCGATGCTTTTATTGTATAAGACACAATCCTAACCAGATAAGTTTTAATTTTATTCTTCTTGGTATCTTTTGGTTTCATTTGTATAAAAAGCTCATTCAAGAAGGAGAAATAAGTTCTCTTAAATTATATAATATAGTTATCTTGAATTGGTATCAGATGATTTCTGGCGTTTCTTGAAAGACAAGGCTACCGTTCGTAATATTTGCATCTCTGATTACAAAACAGCGCATGGCAAAAGCTACTAAAGCCATGATGATTTCATCATCTTGGCCCTAGTAGTCGCCTAGTAAATTTGCTTAGTAAGTTCCTAGTAAGCCACGATGATTTCATTATCTTGGCCTACTAGTAGTTGTCCTAGTAACAGCTGAAAAGATTGATATAGACTATTTCCTCGATTGTCATGAGCCATGAAACCATGGAATGTAGACAGTAGCAGTAATTATTTTAGGAAGTTTAGGATAATTAAGTGTTTAAAAAAAGGAAAAATAATAATTGATTATCTAAATAATTTCTGTGAAATTAACAGGTATATTGACCTCCACACAATATTTCATAATTCTGAATGTTAATATTTTCTGTGCTCATGAGATTTCATGTCCATGAAACTGACATATCATGCCCAGGAGATTGTATGTCCTTTGCTTTATGACTGTCTATGTACCTAAGAATACAGCAACAATTTCTGTAAAGAAGATATTGTTTCAACTCCTTGTAAACTATTTGATTCGAGAGGTAAAAAAAAGCCACGAAATTTAGTGTATGTGATGAGGTACAGAAAAAAACGTCTTTCAAAAAGGCACTTGATGTCCAGAAGTTTGATGTGGTAGAATAAGTTCCGAGTCCGTAAGCTCCAAATCCATACTTCTCGTACAAGAGGGTTGGGCTTGTTGTAAGCTTATGGAGAACACAGAGCTGTAGGAAGTTCCAGGTCCCATCTTTTGGTCTGTAAAAGGATCATTTTTGGGCACTAATTCACAGAATTCGCTCTCTGAGTAGCCCATCTCTGTGATGGAAGGTTGCTGGGGATGGCTGAAGAAAGAGGAAAGGGTAGGATTGTTTTCCCAAGAAACTTGTATTTGGTCAGGACCTGTGAAATCAAGAGGAAAAACAAAGCTCAACCAAACGATTAATTCTTTATTATTATAGCAAGATATACAATTTACTGCGTTTAAAGAATAGTTTATGAATTACAAAAACGTTGCAAATATTCATGCTATCAGTGAGTATGTAATAAGTTATATCAGCCAGTTATATTATAAATTACAATCTTCTAGAAGATCTGAACGGTGATACTGTATTTAGTAGAGACATAGTTTATTACGTACTCGATAATGCAACATTTGCTGTACTGTAGTGACATTATAAGTGATAAGGTTGCATTAATAATTATAAGTGATAGGGTTGCATTAATAAAATATGTGATAACAGTTGCTTAATGAAATATGGGATGGCCGTATGATTTAAAAGGGAGCTTATCTAAAAAAATTATGCCGTAATTTCAAAATGCTTAACTTATACAATACGTTTATTTATTGGAGAAGACCTTTTAGAGCACACAATTAGAGAAACTAATAGATATAACAACTAAACATAATGTATGTATCACAGAACACTAAAGGAGAAACAGATGGATTTTGCTACATCAAAAATAAAAAAGAAATGAAGAAAACAAAAAAGTCGAAAATGTTTCCTTTTATCATTTCGCAACATTCTATTGCATAAAGACAATTATTCAAATAGTACTATGCTCCAGCAATGTGTTTAAAATGGATAAGCACAAGCATCATACTCTTAAAATAATTAACAGTTTAGATTCTGTTGCATAAAAAATAGAGAAATACATTTAAGAATGTGACTTCATTCAGAGTTCTATCAGCAAAACTTTAAAACAACATTTACTACCCCAATTAAAGATTATTTCTCACTTTTACTTAAAAGTTTCAAAGCTTTGAAATGAGGAAAACAGATTGTCATTTGACAAGAAAATCCGAACCGCTATTACCTGCAATTCGCATTCAAATCAGCTTGTCAAGCGACAAGTTGCTAGTACAACAAGCTGTCCCTCATCAACTAAACCATACCGTTCCACACATTCCAGAAAATTATTTCTGATCTTACGTAAACCCTTCAGCGTCCAGGGTATGGCCGCTGATCACTCTTTAGTTCTATCTGGGTTCAAATTCCGGCGAACGGTCAAGGATATATTAGTTTTTCATGGTTTTCCATGGAAGTCCTCCATAAAAGCATACTTCGCTTAGGATATATCATATAACCCTTCAATATTTTGCTCATACCACCCTTCAGTATTTTGATATAATCTCATAAATCCAATTAAATCCAATCCGTGTCATGAAATACTAATTAGTCCTATTGTAAATAAATGATGCAAATTACAGAATTTGGCATTTAAAAGCTTATTCCTTTTTCTGGGACTTTTCAGGTATTTTTTATAGTGTACTGCTTAAACCAAGGTGATTCGTATAAATTCGACTACTTGGATCGAAATCAAATGCTTTTTTTAATACTACCACCCCACAATTTTAAGAGAACCATTGAGTTAAAATTTTTTTATGGCAAGAATGCTCTTAGAATTCGCAACCTTATTACCACTATCTTTAACATGCGGTTTAATGAAGAACAGTTTTAGATTAAGCTGAAATAAATAGAGATCACCATAATGTTTATTGCTTCTAATTGTTGTATCACTGGGTTTGGTTTCGAATCCTGGATAAAGAATGGATGTTTGTAAATGTATTGTGTCTGCTGGGCATGGGAGCATGAGCGTCAGTATCTTATTATAGCGCATCAGTGTCAGTATCTAATCATTAATCACAGACTATGTCAGACTATAGAATTACATTACATAATTTTTAATTTTCAAATGTTCAGAGGCTATATTCCCATTTTAGTCCTAAAATGTACGTTCATCTAGTGTCATAAAAAATTTTCACTATTCCACCTGGGCCATCTGTATTAATAATCTCTACTGATAAACCATATTAAACTTTTAAAGAGTCCTTTTTAGAGACCTTTAAATTCCTTTTGGATTAAAATATGCATCTTTCAGATTTTTTTTTAATTACTTGTTGTAACACTATGTTACATTTCAATTTGTAGGAAAGATACGATGATAGTTATCATATTCGTTTCTCCGAATCAATAGATAGCAGGAACTGCTGTTAGTTAACAGATAAGCATCCGTTTTCTATTCAAATGCAATTAAAGTCAAAATTGCGGTTGAGACGCCAACTAGGATTAGCTACCGAAAATTTATTTATTTCCTTATTTCGATTCCGAGGAAATTATCCAGAAAGCTTCTTATATTGGTGAGTTGGGTTCTTTTGAAGATTTTCATATTAATAAAAGTTTAATTTGTCTATTTAATGATATTAATGCTCATCTAGCTTTTCTCAACTGATTCCAGAATTGTAACATATTAGTTTTTCGAGTTTAATTATTGTTTTCCTTTACAGATAGCGTTGTATTCCTTTTCTCTTCGCATTAACATTGATTTCCCTATAAATATGGTTATTGCAGCTGCTCCTCTGCAAATTTTTTCTTTGATCGTACTCGAAAGTGATAGATATTAATTCAAAATCTTTGCCAGAGTAAGGTTATGCTTTTATCTTAATTTTATATTCAACAATGAGATGTTCCTCTTTCAGCTATATTTGCCGGGTTGTCATACATTTTGCGTCACCTAAAACGTCGTCTATTTTCTCACATTTTGGTTATATGCAGTAACTATAGTATTCTAATGTAATGTATTCTGTTTATAAATAATAGCGATATTAATTGTAAACAAAAATTATTTCTGTATATTACTTCATTTTATTTTGCATTCTTGAAATTTAATTGAAATCTTTTCATTAAGCATTAAATGTTTTATATCAAAACCAAGTCTGTTTCACACATGCAAGTGCATCGCTGTTTAATTTCGGGGGGGGGGGGAGACAAATTTCGAGTCGCCTAAAACTTGATTGAACAAAACTCATTTTTAGTAAACTTTCAAAATTTGCTCTTCTTAAACGAAAATGACATATACTGTTGGTAACTCATAAAAGCATCTTTTTCTGTTGAATGGCATTAAAATTCAGCTCAAAACGAGTTTCAGTTTTGCAAGCTTCAGCAGTCGTTTCCCCGTTTCGTTTCTTAAAGTAGAATAGTATAAACAGGAAAATATCAAAGTATATTAAAAAACGTATAACCGTTTGAACTTTAAAAAATGCATAGTGAGGACGTGTAACATATAACCGTTTGAATCCTTTTTTTTTAAGTGATCCATAGTTGAGAAAAAAAGCGATCTATCATCCAGGGTCTGTATATTAGTTCAAAACTTAATCACTCTCATTCAAGGAAAACAAAAGTGATTTAGTTTTAGGAACTAAAAGCAGTAGGCATTCTCCTTATTAATTAATCGTAAAAACGACAGATGGCAACTTTGGAAAACTTCCGGATTGCACTTTTTGGTTTGTTTATTCGTTACTTTTAGTAACACTCACTGGCCGAAATACATAAAAAATCATTTCTAAATTCTTATATCGCATATGCTTTTTCGGAATAGGAGACTTATGATGGCCTTATGTATAGTAATGGCCTTATGACGGTGGTTTAATTATGCCTTTCCATCGCGTTATAATGAGAAATTTCTGAGTCTCATATACAACGACTTCCAACTTTTGAGATTAGATAACTCACCTTACATACATCAGACAGTAATGTTTCTTCGTTTATTTATATTCCAATTGTTTTATATTAAATCTAGGAATATAAATGTATATGTATGTAATATCCTTTAGAACGAAAAAAAAAAAGGGAGATTGAAATTTAAACGACATCCGAGTTTTTCGTAGAAATCAATGAGCTAAACAAAATTGAAATACTGAGTGAATTAATTGTCTACCTTTTTCTAATTCTCTCGTAGTGTCCATTTGCGTAACAAAGGATTCCGCATTCCCGCAATCTTGTAATATGTTTTCAATAGCGGCAAAGAACCTCTGAGATGCATCGAAATCGTCCATAGTTACCCCATAATCGTCCTTCATGACATCATCTTGGTGATTCTGATGTCCATAAGTTTCTGTGAGGGCCACTTGGTTGTTGTGTTCTTGAATATCACTTCTCTCAGACCACGCACCAGTTTTTCTCAGAGGCTGGTCTAGCACCAAGATATCCGACGGATGTGTAACATCTTCGATTTCTGGAAACGTTGAGAATATATCAGTTTTGCTGCTAGAAGTATGAGGGATAGGAGTGAGGGGACATTCGTCAGAAAAAGAAGTTGAGACATCTTCGTTGCCGTTATGATGTAAAAGTGGAGGAGGCGGATGAAGTAGGTGTGAATCCGTCAAGTGGTGGCTAGGTTTGACTGTAGGGTGACTGTGGTAGAGTTCGCAGGACGGGTAGAAGCTTTGATTCATTCTCTCTATTTCCGCTTCATAACCTAGAATATAAATGGCAACGTTAGTAAAGCAATTTAAGTTTTTTTAAATGTCTTTAGAAACGATGTTAGAGGATCCTTTGCAAAATGTTTTGTGCCTTACTTCACATTATGCTATTATGTTACTTATTATCCCCATGAGCTGGTGAATGTTCCCATAGCATGCAGCAAAATGTCATCCAATCTTCCATAAGTTTCCACGCGGCCTGGAAAATAGCCACTTTCCAGATTGCTGCCTTTACACAAGCCATAAGATCTTTCATTTAATTGCATTACTCAAAAAAATTGAAAAGGTTCAGATTTAAATGGTTGTCCAGAGAGTTAGAGAGAGACTTCTCGCTGCCTTACTACGAGCGCTCTTTTCAGTCAGTTCCTGTCTGCCTTTAAAGCAAGAACTTGGTTCTCTTTGATACTTGAAGACGTATTGTAGTTTCCCGCATTCTGCTCGCTACGTACGTAGAGTTAAAAAGTTATCTTCGCGTTATTAGTCTTTGCAAATTCTCTAAGTTTAGTTCTTATTTAGTTAAGTTAGTTTTATCCCTTATTTTCTGTTTCAGTCCAGAACTGCTGGTCTTTGTATCCCGAAGTGCGGGATGGAGTGCGACTGTGGGAACTGCGATCTGCGCCCGAAGTGCGACTGTGAGAAACAAAGGGTAATTAAATGCTTCTCATTTTTGTCGTATCTTTTATACTCACATGAACATAAGTTTTAAGTAAACTCCCTGTTCCTACTCAGGACTCCAGTGATGTTTCCAAAGGCGATTAGAAGGAATAGAAGTCCTGACAGGTTTATTAACACAAATTATCAATAGATATAGCCAAAGTGGAAGTAGCGAAACATTTTATAAGTGCTAGATGAATATGCACTCATTGCCATAAAAATTTGCGCACCAAGAAAGAGTTGTCAGAATGAAACGAAATTTTACTTATGTATGTACTACTTTGATATAAGTAAGTGATTAGACAATGAAAGAAAAAGGGATCATTTATTGCAGAAAAAGTACACATGAATGGAAGTTTTAGTACTCTGTTGGACCACCAGGTAAGAGTGTTAATGTTGCGGAGGCAGTCTTGTGAGATCCATACTGTGTGTAGCCGAGCATTGTCTTGTTGAAAACAGGCTCCTTAGAGCCCTGCCATGAATTGCAACACATGTGGCTGAAGTATGTCATGGACGTACCGCTGGCCTGTTATTGTGCCATGGATCAATATTAAGGGTTCCCTTGTATCGTAAGCAATGACATCCCATACCATCACACCAACTGTGGAAACGACGTGTCTCTGCAAAGCGAAGGCAGGATTGAGACGTTCACCATGGGGGCCTCCACACACGAACACGATTGTCATCACTGATCAAATTGAATCTAGATTCGTCGCTGAAGACGACCTGGTTCCAGTCCGTTAAAGTCCAATCCTGTCGTGCGCGACACCGCTTCAAACGGAGGCGTCGATGGAGGGTGTCATTAGCAGCACACGTAATGGGCACCGCGATACCAGATGTCCTTCAACCAGGCGCCTTGCGATGGTTCGAGAAGACACAGGGGCCTGTAATGAAGCTGCTGTTTGTGTCTGGATGGCGGCCAATGAGGCAGTTGGCTCTACGCCTGTGTGTCGTATTATGTGACGGTCTTCTCAATGACTGGTCTGCCGAGGGCGTCTTGAGCCTGGTTAAACCGTGTAAATGACATCTCTTCTGTCCACTGGTTCCAACACTTCCTCACAGTAAAATCAGAACAGCCTACCTGACGAGCTACTCGCCGAGCTGACCACCCAGCTTTCATCATCCCGATAATTCGCCCACCAGCGGCCGAGCGGTAAAGTCGCTGAACACTGGTAGTTCGGTCCGAGGTTCGAATCCCGCGAACGGGCTGGCTGCATGGGCGTTTTCGTGGTTTTCCCCATGTGTAACGTGTATACGAGCCAGTTTCCCTTAGAAAGTCCTCCACGAAGGCATCCCTCCTCTTAGGCAGATAGCCCTCGAGGCTTCGCCATAATTACACACACACACACACACTTCCCGATAATTCTTCCCCTCTCGAATTCTGACAGCTGCTGATATTAGCTTCCGATGGCGGTGTAACGGCATGTAAATTATTACAATTATTTCTTGGTGCGCAAATTTTTATGGCAATGAGTGTACAGTCAGGTTAACATAGGAACGTCATATAGCTTCTATATGTTTGGAAAAGGGAAAAATATGTAATGTAATTCCGTAAAAATATTCAGATTTTTAATTAGATGTATTAAATGCATTTATATTTAACTATATCAGATTAGAAAATAAAAAAATAATAATCTCAAGAATTCATACATTACTTTTAAATAGTTTATTTTGTTAATTAATAACAGACAGATTAAATTTGAGAGACAAATATTTTATATTTTGCCGAAGGGCAACTGGCTCGAAAAAAAGCGAAACAGCGCAAAATCGTGATTCGAAACTAATAGTTCCCTTTTGGCTAAAATTAAAAAAATAAATAAATAAATAAATAAAAAATAAAAAATAAAATAAACGCACTTTGTTATGAATTAATTTATTTTTTAGTAATACTTCAAAGTCATTAATTTAAAAATATATTTAATTTATAATATTTTCAATTAAGAATTTTACTGATAACTGCAGCAAGTCTTAATTAATAAAAAAATTTTCTAACAGCATATAGTATATTATATAATGTCACAGAATTGTTGCTTCATTTTATGTATTTCATTCATTCAAGAAAATGCGTATCAATAAATAAGTTCGAAAAGCACAAAAATGCAATACATTGCGCACAAAAGTAAATTAGTTTGATCTTTTGCAGAAATTTCAAATACAATTACCACAATATATAAACATGTTTACTTTGTTGCAAATAGCATATACTTGAATACTTTACAAAAATATCTTTTCAAAGCAATCTGAAATTTTTCTGCAGGATTTGTATTTTTCTGAAAATATAAATTTGTAATTGCAGCTACTGTGGAATCCCGATCATCAGCCAGTCCATAAATACTTAACACACATTTGAAATTATTACTGCTGCTAGCTTTTTTATTATTATTAATACTATATTATAAATTTTATTACCGTTTGACCATAATTTATTCCGATAACTTGAAGATCTGGTTAATTGGACTTTTTTTTTTTTTAAATCTTTGCTCAAATACCTTTCTACTGCTGTCCTTCAGCGTTGTAATAACACGTTTCCTTTTAGGAGGCATATTAAACAAATTAAAAATAAAACATTACGCTTGTATGCTTGAAAAAAGAATAACAGTTTCCAAAATAAAAGAATTCACACATAAAGTAAATACACCTCCCACTTCCTCCTTCAAAAACAGTCACTGGATCAATGAAAATGTTAGATAGTCTTCGCTATGTCGAGTAGTACAGCAACATGAGACTCATCATTCAGGTAGCCAGTCGATCGAAGGGTATCAACTAAGTCAAAATCATGGTAATAACAGCAAAGAGTGCAAGAAGAAAATGTGAAAGTGTTCCTGCCACCAAGAAACGTAAATGAGTCATTCAAAGCTCGATGTAATCAACCTTCATGAAGAAAGTGCATCACCGTGAAAAACAGGAATAAAACTGATCACCCTCCCCCCAAAAAAATTAGTAAACAAATGGTACGGGTGTCTGTTTTACCGAAAGAAGTTACTAAAACCAGAAGCTCGCGAATAGAAGCATAGAGAGGCTATTACCTTTATGGATCTGAGACATAAATCAAATCAGAATTCCGTTTAGTCAAGTGGCCAAAGTATTAGGTGTTTACAATGAATTGAAGATACTGATTACATAGACCCTGTGTGGCACTACTAGTTTGGCCTTTGGTGGATTACGAAAGATTGAATTGAAAGATATTGCTCAATACGCCTTGTAATATTGTTCTTTACTGCCAGTTATAATTGAGTTTCTTCGTTTCTAATCATGTTTATTCTTCTGTTAATTTATAGACCCTCTTTTGAAGATTAGTTTAATTTACGTAACCGAATAAAATTGTTCTCCGGATAAAGTGCTCAAAAATACAGGTAAATTGTTAATAGAGGTTTTGGTAGTAGTTGTAATAATTCTTCATTCTTGCGATTTTAACTACCCTCCGATCAACCCTGATAATGGCTTAGTCTGTTAATCAATAGGTAGATTAGATTTGAAAGATAAGTATTTTAAACCGGGACATCGGCCTGTCTAGTTTTCCAGTTAAACGGGAGTTGAGTGTAAAGCAATATAATGATATACTAACTAAAAAGCATTTATCTTACCATCAGCAAAAGAGCTGTAGTACGCCTGGTCGAAATCCGAAGCGACTTTTGCGGCCAGTCGGTAAGACGTGGAATGGCCGTAGGAACAGGCTACGTCCTCTAGCATCTTGTCGATAGCTTGGAAGACAGAACAATCCGCCTGTACGTGATCCAAACCGCTGGCTGTTAGATCTCCGTACGACACCGCTTCGTCTTTACTCAAACCGGAGAAGGAGCGGCAACCTGATGTGTAGTTCTTGGAACATAGGCATTCAAAGGGAGGACAAGAACACTGAGTATCTCCTGTAGAAACATAAGCCAGTACATGTCAGAACTTGTGGTATTTATGGGGATATTTCCACTATTGATTTCAGAGCACTGGAGTGATAAATTAAAGAATAATTATACAAGATAAAAACTGTCTCTTTACAGGATCATTTTACAAGACATTTAACTAAAATTATAGAACTGATAAGTTCATTGTACATAACAATATAGGGTACGTAAATGACCCATCAGTCGAGTTTGCAGCAAAAATGTGGACTACATTATTAGTAGTTAAAGCACTATATTATTAGTTCTCATTTAATGGGACTCGAATTTTATTATCTAATGCTTGAATATGTTTAGCAGAAGACCGTGAGAAACAATGAATGATTGGGAGAACGAGAGATATACATTTCTAGAAGCAACCTAGAAAGATAAAGATTAAAAAGTAAAGAAAACGGGGTTTGAGAGAGAAGGAATATATTTAAATTACTTCAAATACTAGCTTGCTTTCAGAATGGTTTTTAACTGCTGAAAAATATAAATAAATGGGACTTTTTCGAAAAGCTATTGGATCTAAAATTTTTATAATGCGCAGTATCATCGATATATATTCACCTTCGAGAATCAGTTAATCCTACTTATATTCCAAAGTATGTCTAAGGAATGAACTGGCTCCCTTTTCGGGATTTAAACCCAACTGATCACACATGGAACGCTTTAGGTCCCAAGAGTTAAGAATTCCAGCATCCTCCTAGGATGCTCCAGTAGCTAACAAATGCGCTTAAAATGTGCTGGAATTTTCTTTTTGAAAATCTTTTCATATTTGTATAAACAGCATTGACAATCATTGCCAGTTTTGAGTTTTTGTGCCAGGAGGAATTATGCGTATTATTCACGATTCGACTTTGTGAATTTTTATCTAAATACTAAATTTGTCTCTTTCTTTCTCTTTTTACTCTGATGTTCAAAAACTGAGTTTGTTTGAAAACTCTCTAATACAATCAATTCTGTTGTGGCGACGACCTTCTGTAAGAGAATATAGTTAAAAATGAACGCCATTTCTGAAAATATACACAAGCACTCCTACTGAATGAGCACCTCGTTCAAGACAATTACCTTCGCAGAAAACCGAAATTATTTGATCTTAGAGAGGATTCACGATTTCCCCTACATTATAAAATTGTACAAGATTTAAAAATTCATGATCTTAGCTGCGAAGCTTCAGAAGATATGCTATTTTTCATTAACCATGCTTTTTAATTCTGTTTTCTCCTGTACATAATGAATGGCATAAGGATAGTTTTATTGCTAGACAACGATACAGCGTTGAATCACCGTTTAAAGCGCTTGGTTACTGATAAATAAGTTGATTGTATGCATATTTTATACCCAAGAACAGACGTAATTTGGAAGAACTGATCGGAGAATCACATTATTTCATTTTCATAGTAATTGAATTTTAAAATTTCCGACGCTAACAATTTTTTAATCATTGCTGCGTAATAAACATTTCTTATTAATATCATGCTTTCTTCAATATACCCTTTGCCATTATTGTATATGAATCATAAAAGTTAATACATCCTGTATAGTTTTAATTGCAAAATAAAATATGAAGTTTAATTTTTATGAATCCATAATATTTTATCGATAATTGAATCTACGTGAAAGAAACAAACAGTTATTTTAAAGACAACTTACCATTTTTCCTAGATATTTGTAGCTGGTTCTCCAGCCTCGCAATTTTGCTGCTTTCATAAGAACTATTTCTTCTCCACGCTGGATGTATGTCTGGTCTTTTGTTTTCCTTTAATGGAAGCTGGAATAAAAAGACGTTCATGAAATTCGTGCAAATTACGATTAAATATTTTAATAACTTATTTAATAAGTATTTTCATAAGTAATTTTGACTTCCTTGCACAAAGTAAAGGAAGTATTATAATCACGAAAAATTGCGTATGCCATATTCCAACTAAAATATCCATTTTGGCCGCTATCGAATGCAATTTAACGAAGTTTTGCGTAACATCTGTACGTAAGGACAGAAAAAAGGACTCTTTTTTCCCAAACGGATTATAAAATTGATTTAAAATGGATTCAAAAGAGATTTTTTTCGTGACGTCTGTATGTACGTACGTATTCATTTTGTATGATTCAAAAACAAGTAACCTCACAACGTTGAAATGTTGTATATAGGACTGCTATAACATGTATTTGTGCACCTCCCTTTTTGGTTGCAATCTGCCGCACCAAAAGTATATGTATATATGTAATGACAGAACACTTTTGGAGGCACTGAAATAAGAACACTGAGACGCAGATGCGTAGAAATACTAATTGCATATATACTTGATGCTTAGAGCGTCCATCCATTTTTGAATAAGAAGCAGTCGAACCGGATTAAATTCCTTTTATTTATTTAAATTCCCATTTTGTGGCCACAATTCACTTGGCACTCTACTCGTGCCTATCAAAGAACATTAACAATTTTTTGATATTATTGCCATAGAAGCGAATATAGCAGGACACACATGATTGCAGAAAGACGTCTGGCCAAGAGGAAAGCACAAGCAAAAGTGAAGCATCACTTCATAGAAAGGAGGGAGTCAAAAGTTTCATTTCTTAGTTTCGGTTTACAATCTGGTGATTGGTCAAGAGGCATCCTCATTAAGGGTTACGTAAGATCGCATGATTAATTTCAATGACGCAGTTTAGACTTAGAGCGCTATTTTTAGGATAGAGCGATGAAGTTTCCAAATGAAATACAAAATAAAAGAGGTTATATTGAATTAAATTTAGAAGTTTGCTTTCATACTTTTTATCTTACACACACACACACACACATATATATATATATAACCCCTCTGTTACTCAGCTCGGTGAGTTCAGTTCTTTTTTTTATTATTCTAATATTTTTTTTTAAATTGTGCATTTTTTGTTTTAAAAATGATTGAATTATGTTATACTTATTTCCCAGTTAAGGTTTTTATACCTGTAGTTAATCTGCATGCAATAGTTGTAAAATTATAAAGAAATTGGAAGTTGTTTAAGTGCGGCTAAGCCTAATTTTTGTTTACCATAGCAGCTATGTTTGTTTACATTTAAAACTTAGCAGAATAGTAAATTAAGTCAGTTTCCGCACTTTCAAATTTTTTTGCTGAGGGGGACCAAACGTAAACTTCGCCTTGTTGTCCACTAGCCGAGTTACTTGTTTTTGTGTAGAAACTCTAATTTTAGTTATAATTTTTTTTAAAATGTTTGAACTGTATTTAGTGTTTTATTTTTTCTATATCTTCCAATTTTTAATGAAAATGAGCGTATAATTTAATATTCCGTACAAAGAAGTCATGTAGTATCCGCATCAGACTTTTAAATATAAAAGCCAGTGTAAAAGATTTTCGTAATTCAGATACATAAACTTAATAATACCGATAATCGCAAGAACTAACTGTGACATTAATTTTAAAAAATAAAGCAAACATATAGTTTGGAGATTTTTCTGTATTTGAGGTGTAGAGTGGTTATTATTATAACATTACACATCGTACAAAAGTCATATAAAAATATAACGTGGTATCCCCTTATGCTTCAGAAATGCCTTATAGAAAAGTATACATATGTAGTACGTATACACATTATAATTATACATCTGGCGTAAGTATTTATAAAATTTATTAATAACGATGTATTATTTTCTTTAATTATATTATTAAAAGTATAAAAAATAGTAAAAATAGGCATAGTCATTTGTTGCATTTATAAGTAAGTCATAATTTGGAAGATACATGAAATAAATGTTTTATGCCTAGTGGATTGAAAATATTTTTAACATGCTGTGAAAATGCTGTGTGCATATTTGCTCTGAACATGTGCACCTGGAAGCACGAATTTCGATTTCCAAATTTTATATTTCATATTTTGTAAACTTTAATGAAATTTCGAATAACAGATTCAACGATTTGAAAGAGAGCAATAGCAGTACTGTATGGAAATAAAACATTTTTATCTCTAGCGCGAGACTAATAATAAAGCTAAGAAGATAAATATATTAGTTAGCAGGAGTGAATGCAACAGCAGACTGGTACGCAGCGAGCTGAGCGAGAGCATAAAAAAAACTTCAACAAATCCTTTTGGGCGACCGTTCAAATTTGAACCTTTCAGTTTTTTTTTTTTTTTTTTTTTTTTTTTTTTTTTTTTTTTTTAGTCCAAAGGGATTTGAATCTCGAAGGACTATTAGTTTCGTTTTGGCATTTTGCGTCGGACTCATAAATGTCGGTTCACTTTTCAAACTGTTGCCACAAAATGTTAGAGTCCTGCATTATATTTGAAGAAATTAAATAATGAAAAATCTGCATAAATGTATGTATATTTCTCGTATTGTGATAAAACAACGGTACATAGAGTCATCGAATTTTGAATAACGTAATCCTCCAATGAATATGAGCATGTGGAAGACCAAATTTGAAATTTGAAATTTGTTTTATGATCGATTTCCTATTTTTTAAAACTTTGACGAATTTTTGATTAACAAACTCAAGGATTTCAAAGCGAGCAATGGCAACGTTGTGCAGAAAAAAAAAACATTTTTATCTCCAGCGCGTGAGTCTCTGTATCCGAAATTCTAAAGATATGCTCGTTTTAAAACTATTTTGCGATATTGCTGTTGCACTGGATCTTATGGTTTAAGTGCGAGGAACATGATATTTAATAAAGAAAGGTAACACACAAAATGTTAAAAAAACGCCCCTTTGGACGTAATTTAAAATCTGAAACATTTCAGATTTTTTTTTTTTTTTTTTGTTGTTGTTGTCCCAAAGGAGCGTTAGCTCAGAAGAGCTAGTAATTTCGTTTTGGCATTTTGCATCGATTCACTGTAAATATCCGTTTCACTTTTCAAACTGTTGCCAACAAACCCTCTGCTATATTTAAAGAAATTAAATAATGAAGAATCTGCATAAATGTATGTGTATTTCTTGCACTGTGATAAAACAACGATATCTAGAGCCATCAAATTTTCAATAACGTAATCCTCCTCCGAATATTGGCATCTGGAAGCCCAAATTTGGAATTTAGAATTTGTTTTTTTATCCATTTCATATTTTGTAACACTTTTAAGGAATTTTTGAATAAGAGAGCAATAGCAGCAATACGATTTCAAAGTACGAAAGAAAAAATCATTTTCATTTCCAGTGAGTGAGACTGTGCATCGAAAACTCTAAAGATATGCTTGTTTTAAAATTATCTTGCGATATTGCTGTTGAATAGATTTTTATGGTTTAAGTGCGAAGAACATGATATTTAATAAATAAAGGTGACACAGAAAACGTTAAAAAACGCCCCTTCGGACGTAATGTGAAATCTAAAAGCTTTCAGTTTTTTTTTTACTTTGGATGTTATGGTTTTTTCTTTCTTTCCTTTTTACTTTCTTGTACGAAGTAAAAAGGAAGTATTGTAATCGCGAAAACTTTCAAGCATCATATTTCAAACCAAATATCCATTTTTACTGCTATCGAATGCAATTAAACGATGTTTCTGCCTGACAGGTACAGGTAGAAGCTAGGCCAGCACCTCCGTAGTACCACAGGTAATTGAGGTATTGCTGAACCTAGCTAACTGTTAAACTTCCCGCCCCAATTTTGAGGGAGAACACCCCGGGGGTGGTCCGAGGTTCTCCCGCCCCTCTTTCTTTACCATCAACCACTTGAGAGGACTTTCTGAGATAAATGATAAGTTCTGGTATAAATAGTGTACACAAATCATATTGAGAAAAGACTGTCCTTGAAAAGTTCAACAACTGATGTTTCCAAAAGCATAAATGTAAGAGTGTCTTTTCTAAGGCGGAAGGTGTAATAAGCAAGTCTTTGGAGCTCCCGTCCATCAGCATTGCGTAGATAAATGAAACAGTTGGAACATTAAAATGAAATGAAAAAAAAAAAATAATAAATAAAAAAATAAAATAATAATGAAAAAATTAAAAAAAATAAAAATATATAAATAAAATAAAATAAATAAAAGACAAATATGGTATAGTAACATATGGAGATGGATAAGCATTAGATATGACAAATATCCAGTCCAAGTCTTTGAATATGTATAAGAACGTCTCTGATTTTGACCCTAAGGTGTCTGTTCTTTATTGCATATTTCTTAAATGGCATTAGATTATTGTTAGGCTTGATCAGATGTTTGCCGTCTGTTAGATTACAGTCAAAAATGTAATGATCAGGGTCACCCCTTTCGCCACATATGCAGAGATCTGTGGGACACATGCCTCCTGTCATGGAAGTAGGTGGGGAAAGGACCGTGCCCTGTGATATACTGATTCAGAACATGGTCATAGTGTAGGGCCTCTTTGTCAGTTTTTGAGAAAAAATTGTGGACTCTTCTGCCTTGCAATGCAGAATCCCATTCTTCTTGCCACTTTGAGTCGACAATTGCATTCAGTGTAAATTTTAAATGGGACTTGGGCCACGGGACATGAATTACCTCACTGTTGATGTTAGTCGTTGCATCCTTTGCAAGGAGGTCAGCTGCCTCGTTGCCGTCGTTTCCGTTGTGGGCTTCCACCCAATTGAGGATAAACTGGATTTCTGGGTGGGCACTTATAGTATTTTGAATATCCTGAACCAGTTGGTTCTTATTGTTTATGTACTTCAGGGCATATAATGCAGATTGACTGTCTGAATAGATAGCTATTGTCCTGAAATTATTTGATATAGCTTTATTTACTGCAGATTGAATTGCTGACAGCTCAGCTTGATAAACGGAATTTTCTTGAGATAATTTTCCTTGCCATATTGTTGGAATAGAGGAAGAATA